TTGACTTTAAACTGTGTATTATAATTTTCATTTTGTTGTGAAAGAATGAATATCCTGTAAAACAGTTTGTCACAGTGATGGTTGCTCACTGCGTGCAGTGCTTTACACATCTATTAGAACATGTAAGGTTTATGCAACACTTACTTGAAACCAGTGGTGTTAAACATAGGGCCCGGGGGCCAGAATCTGCCCGCCAAAGCCTCCAATCCGACTGCAGGGACGACTTTGGATGACTTTGATTGCGAGGATGGATTTTTTTACTTTAAACTGTGTATTTATAACTTTTATATGACGGCCATGGCCATTCATGCAACACCAAAGCATTTAAATAATGGATAAACAAATAAATGAAAGACAATTTCCTGTTTTTCGCTGAGTACTTTGGACACTTTGGGGGGAAAGAACAATTTCTGTGAATGAACAAAAACTATGTTATATAAATATGATCGTTTTCAGTGATTTTACACATCTTTCATGTAGAAAAACTGACGTGTGCTGTTGAAATTCTTTATGTGCACACACCTCTGGGAGTAAATGTAGTTAAATGTCACAGAAAGGTTCGTTTGACTCCTCCAGCCCACTTCAGGTCACCGTGGCTTATCTGTGGCCCTTCATGTAAAACGAGTTCGCATCTCTGCTCTGAAGCGTCACAATGACCAAAGTCATTTCTGATATTTCTGTAATAATCGACCAGTGTGCGCAAGCTGTTAAATCAAAACGCTGCTTTTAATGCCAAACTACAATTATTGCTGTTATCCATGAATTTTCACATTTCCTCTTAATAAAATAAATAAGGTCATTTTAAACAAGTGCTTGACAGATTTATGAGATATTTTTCTTGTTTTTTGACAAGCAGGTTAATAAATTTGTTCAGCGCTGCAAGTATCCTGTCAAAAGTCAAGATGAACAATTCAACTGTCATGTTCACCTCAGATCTCAGAAGTGGTCTGATTAAAACAAAGCAATAAGTGTAATAAAGAGCTCTAACTGTAGATTTATTCATGTATTTATTTTCTCGATGATCAATCCAAGTGTCGATCCTGCTTCTATTTACCGTCGTCATGATTATCGGATCTTGTGAACGCAGCACAGCGCAAATGGGGGTTTCGGGCTGGAGGCTTCCTTTAAAGCCTCTACGCGCTTGCGCATGGCGTCCTCTGCTGTACAAACCGTTTCAGCGCAGCTACTGAAAGCCACGAGCCTTGTTGTAAGTTGCACAACAGCGCTGTTGAATTTCTTGGTGAGATTTTCCCTCATCAGGTTGTAGATTTTGAAATATTTCCCAGCCGAGGTTGGAGCCACGTGCATTCATCGCTTCAGTCCATCACAACTGCAGCCTGTCGATGAATTCAAAGCCAATGAAAATATGTATTGATAGTCCTAATTAAACGTGTCTGATCCCATTTGTCTGCAGCGGGTCAACGCGCATGTCTGCGCTGACTGATCCGTCATTAGCTGTGCGAAATGCAATTAAACCGTCCTGCGGTTTGTCCACAGCCCTGCACGGGTCTGGCGCTCCGTCTTTGTCACGGACTGATCGATGATTATTGGCAGCCAGCTTTAGGTCCAGACGCGTCTGCGGGAGCTGAAAGAGAAGAGCTGCTGTGGACCATTAATGTGCAAACTAGTGCGGCTCATTTCTCCAAATATTTGGCGTGGAGATAAGGCGGCCAGCAGCAGTGATTGACAATGCTCGAGCGCATCATAATGGGGGCTTTGCCGTGACCACCAACACAAGTTCAATATTGACTTTTTGGAGCATGCAGCAGCTCCGCCTTGTTCCCAGGGAGACGCGTAATAATGAGATGGTACAACATAATGCGCAAACCAAACTGCGCCTCTGCCCTCTTCCTGTGTACGCATTCAAAGCAGAAACACGGAGGTCTGATGCTGCGCAAATGGAACGGATTGACCCATAAATTGGACAGCTTTTGAATGCAAATGGGCGGATACTCATTAACACCTGCGTTGTGGATTGAAGGAGCTCGTTCGGCCTTTGATTGAAAAGAAATGGCACCTATGAGTGTATGAGATGCGGCTTTGAACTAGGCAGCTCGTCTCTGCGCGTCATGGGAAGGAAGGAGGACTGAGAAATATCACACAAAGGCCATCTTAATTTCCCAAATTAGGGGTTGTAATGTGAGGCAGAGAGGGCAGCAGAGGGCTGTGGAGAGCTTAGACTGTGGAGAGCAGGAGCTTAGACTGGCATCTGGCTGCACTGGACAAGGTTTGCTTGGAATTTACATGTCTGCTGACCACAGACAGTCTGCAGGTTTGGACCTCACCTGTGCTCTTTGTTATGGAGGATGCTCTGATTATTATCATTAACATATCTGAGCAGCTTTATCCTTCCTTCGGTGTTTGAAGGAAAACAGAAGTAACAATATGTGCATGTACAACACCACTTTATTTTATTTTCAAGATCCCTGTAAGTCTGTGATGAGTCGTAACCCGACACTAGAAAAAGATCCTGATAAACACGAATTACATTTTTTGATTAAAATGCAACTGAAATATTAAAAATATGTCAAAGTCAAAGGTTTGTTTATTAAAATAATGAATTGTCGAGGAAACCATGCCTGGCACAAACTGAATGTATATTTATCCAATGGCATGGAACATGTAGGTACATGTAATCAAATTACTTTAAGTCAGCATTTTGGGCATACTTTTTATTTTTAATTTAATCGCAGCTGTAATCTTTGAAGAAAACAAGAAAGCATTTCATATTTTGGGGAAACAAACAATTTCAAATCGTTTTTAAAGCCAGAGAAGCCAAATAGATGGAGTCTAAGCTGAGTTCAGGTTAGTCGGGTTACTTTCTCACTGAGACCTCAAAGAGTTAACAACATGTAGTTAGGGCTGATGGCTGAACATGGGCTCTTTAGACTGTTGATTAAAGCCTAATTAATGAGTCTCATCGTTTAAATGAATAAAATGAACAAAGTGTCTGGTGACTAATGTTGTTTCCACTAATTGGGTTGTAAGAATGCCACAGACATCAAATGTCCCAACCAAAAATACAGTATATATATACATATTAAATATTATGAAACCAAAGACTGACGTTGTTAGAATGAACTAAAATTAAGTTTCTTTTTTATTAAATAAACAGATTTTTTTAGAGTTTAGAATAAAGCAAAAGAAAAACTAAAGGAAGTGATGCGGTGCATGAGTGTGCACACGTTTGTACTGTATCATTACACCACAGTGCCATTCTGAAGCTATGAACTCTCACAGTGTGACAAATACCACACATACATATATAATAATGAAAAAGTGCACAAAAAGAACATTTTTAAGCATAAAAACAAACCGAGCTGCAAACCTGACCTTCATCCAAATCAGCAACACAAACACAAGCGCACACCAACCCTGCCAAAGGCCTCTGATGCTGATTTACAACCAGCTGCAGGATCCCCACACAGACGCACATTTTTAGTATAACTGAAATAAACAGGATGGATCACATCTATTTGTTTATTATCCCTCTGCACGCTTACACGTACTTTACCTTTGCACACACGCAGCCGAGCCCGTTTCCAGCCTGTATGTTCGAGTAAATGCATTTCAGAGATTACAACACGTGCACCGTGTCATGTGCTACTGGGGCTCTGCCACTGATTAATAATTTGTCTTTCCTGGGCAGATGCAACCTCTCGAGCTGCTACAAGCGGGTCTGGCAGTCATCTGTCATTTGCTCTTCCTGTGTGCTCCTTCAGTCTGTCTGACATCTCTAAGCAAACACGGCCAATACACAAGCAGAGCCTGGAGCTGCTGGGCAGCCAGCGAGAGCAACCCTCTTCTAATGTTTGTGTGACAAAAAAGGCAAGGCAAATCCTCGCAATGGAATCAGATAATCACCAACTTGTGAAGAGCCTGCCCCAATCCACATCCACCCCCTGCCCCCCCCACACACACTCCCTTTCTCATACAGCCCCTGGATTAACTGTCTGTTTGGCTAATAATTTTAATCTGCTGGAGTGGACCTAGAATGGCTTACAGGGGTCCGAATAAACATCTAATCCCCTAGCGTCCCCTCCTCCCTCGAGGCCCTGCACTCCTTCCCCATGGACCCCCCCACCCACCCACCCACTCCCTTGCTTGTTATAGAGTCAAGGTGAGCATGCTGCGTAGTTTTAGACCCTTTTGCTGGATAAAATAGGTTCTGCAGCCATCCAGACAGAAGTTAAGCCCATCGTGTGACAAACTGCTGCCAGACTGGGCCAGGCTGACATTGTCCAGTGGAATGTACACACCAGAGTGTGTGTGTGTGTGTGTGTGTGTGTGTGTGTGTGTGTGTGTGTGTGTGTGTGTGTGTGTGTGTGCAGACAAGGGTGCTAAGGAGGAGAGGGCACTTCAGGTTCACAGGGTCAAGTAATGTCTGTCTGAGGCACATATGTAGCTGCAGAGGACACACCGTGGGAGGACAGTGTTCCAATTTAAGAGAAATTAGTGTCCAGATAAAGACAGCAACGGTCATTTATTCAACTTAACCAAAAAAGCTCTTCAGCACTTCAAATACGACAAGTTTCTTCTTCTCCACAGTGTTCTTCTTTTCAAGGGAAACATCACAGATTACAAGTTTGGCTTTCAAAATCAAGTAAAAGCAAAATATAAGCGCATAAAACACATAAAACAATCACGTGATTGTCTTGTCACTTAAATACGCAGCAAGAAACGGAATTTAAAAAAATCCTCCTTCTGGCCACATCAAACATAACTGCGGTGAAATTACACCTCCGCAGCACGGATGGCCCTCAAGTCTTAATTGTTGCTGTTTGAAGTATGGCCACTCAGATATCCTGTTTAGGATGGGGCTGTATTGTCGCACCTTTGTTCTGATAAGGGTCCCTGCCCCCATCGACAAAGTGCGAAAGACGGGGAGGACCCGCAACAATATAAGGACCCGAGGAGTGTCAGAGGGACACACTCTGTATCTCCTGCGCTGCTGTGCTGCCGTCTGTCACACTGAAGTTTCCTTCTCTCTCTCTCTCGTCATGGATTTCCTTCGGGCTTGTGTCCTTTTCGCCGCTCTCTCCGGTCTCGTTAAGGCTTTTTCGCATCAGGATATGAAGGACGCGCTGCTACAGAAGCTTGGGATGGATGAAGTTCCTAGAATCCATAAAAGGGATGTGGAAAATCTGGTGATTCCGGCGCATATAAGAAATAAGTACACGAGCATGCTGAAGATGCACCACAGCAGGAGGCGCAGATCTTTGCCGAGTCTCGCGGGCATCCTGAAAGGAATCCCCGGCACTGCAGGTAGGCACTTTTTAAATGTTTAACAAATGGAGCATGCAGATTGAAAAAAAGTTTTGCTGTAGAGTATTTTACGTGCATAATAGCTGTAACACCCAGTGCACTTTTACGCACCAGTGTATATTCATGAAAAAGTCATTTTAACCTTCGCAAGAGGCGAAATTGACCAAAAAGCTGGAAACTGTTTGTGTGTTAGATATTTCCGGGGAGTACGTCTACTCTGACACCACTCGGCAACGCGTGATGTTCGACATGGAGGCGAGAATCCCGGATAATAGTGAGGTGACCATGGCCGAGCTGAAGCTCTACCAGCGGGCTTCTCACCACAAACGATTCACGGTGGAGCGGAAGAGCCACCGGCCCGTCAGCAACGCCAGGGTCAGCGTCTACTGGGTGGAGGTGCTGCCCAACGGATCCAACCGGACGTCGCTGGTAGATTCGCGGTAAGGGATCCGTTAAATTAACCCCCCCCCCTCCCACCAATCAACTTGCTATCTTAATTAAAAGACAGCGGTATTCTTCTGTAGTTATCAGTCAGAGCTCACTTTAATGAATTGCCCCCATCGCGTTTACAGGTTGATCCCCATTCACGAGACGGGCTGGAAGAGCTTTGATGTCACGCAGGCGGTGCACTATTGGTCCAAGACACAGCAGAAGACACCTATGCACCTGGAGGTGTGGATCGAGGGCGAGAGACCTGGCAGTTATGCGGCAGAGATAGCCAAGAGTGTCCGCTTTACCACCCAGGAGCAGACGGACAACACCTTGGGGAAGCCCGAGCTCGTCCTCTACACACTCAACCTGGAAGAGTACGGGTAAGGGCGCGAAATACAGGATATTGTGTCAGTGTGACAATTAACCCTGCGCTGCTTTTACCTGTCAGCATTTGCATTCGCTAATAGAAGTGTTGCGTGGTGGCAAAGGGGCGTAGGTGCTTCAGAGAAATCTAGCAGCAAATTACAGACTGTTACTGAAGAGCACCATGCTCTCTATCAGGGATGATCCAAAGTCATTTGAAGTAATATCACTGAAAACACAAATCAATCTTTAAATTGACCACTGCATAGCAAGCAGGGGTGTAGCTAAGAAATTTGGGGCCTTTGACAGCTTTTGGGGCACCTGACCCACCCCAGCAACACTGCTAATGCTGGCAGCTGTCAGCTAACTTTCCTTGTTTTCGTCCTCAGCTCTCGCGGTGACTGCGACAACCAAAACAAAGACAGCTGCTGCAGAGAGGAGTACTTCATCAACTTCCGCGCACTGACATGGACGCAGTACTGGATCATTGAGCCGGCGGGGTACCAGGCTTTCAGGTGCACCGGTGGCTGCAAGCAGCCCAAGCGCAACTTCGGGTACGGCGAGCGGCGGTGCACGGTGTCCGAGAGTGCGCCGTTACCCATCATGTACCTGGTGAAGAAAGGGGACTACACCGAGATAGAGGTGGCTGAATTTCCCAATATGATCGTAGAGAGGTGCGCGTGCACTTTGGACAACATCTCGATAGTATGAAGTCACGGGAATCCAGACTGGGGGCGGGGATGAGTACACGCGTGGTGTTGTTTTCAATGAAGTGTTGATTTATTTAATGCACACCTAAGACTTTATATTTAAAAGGACATTTACCCGGAGTTCCACACACACCTGCCTAAACTCCATCTACAAGCACTTTGATATATTTTGTACATTTTGATATTGTTTTTTTCTGTTTTTATACTTGAATGTGTGCGAGCTGCGTCGAGTCGTTCAAATTCTGTTTGATGTGTTATATTTTCCACCTGTAAATAATATGAACGAGTTTATGTTTAGAAAATTAAAATATTTTGTCTCAGCTGGTCGCTCCTCCTCCTCCCTGCTGTCTCTCTGGCTCCATTCACATTCATGATCACATTCAAATGTAGTTGCATACAGCTGCCTGTGTCTTTCGCCTTGTTGTTTGCACTTATAGGAAGTTGTAATGCAGAGCAAATAATTTGCCTAATGACTTATAACACCTGTTACACTGAGGCCACACTGTCATGGAGGTCAAATGAGCTTTATTTGCAGTGGGAAGGAGCTACGTGGGCGCTTACAGAGAAACATGAAGTCTATTCACATGAAGCGGCTCCTCGTGCGTTTACACCAGGCTTAGAGGGCCAAACATTACTAATCAGAGCCAACAGCTAATGCACTGTTTGCTGTCTGACTGGGAGGTCTTGTCATTCGCTAATATGCTGCTGATGTGGGTAAACATGCTGCAAAGACAAGCAGCTGTCTGAGTGAATATCTATCGGGTGGTAGAGGAAAGAGAGCAGAATGTCAGAAAGACCACACATGCTCCACATGTGCATATAAACATGTTTAATGCCCCAGTAAGTTTAATAGTACGTATGCAGTATCGGCCTTACCTCTGTCAGTCTTTTTCTGGGCCGGATTACTCAGTCAGCAGTTATCGGGACATTTAGTGGCGCTTTATGATGCGGTCCTTCACCAATGGTGCCATTCTGCTGGAATTAAATGTCACTTTAAATGATGACATAACCACATTTACTTAAAAGTCCTTCCCAGTAGATACGGGGGAAACAATTCAACCTTTTACAAAAAAAAA